CAATTCAACTTTAAACTGAATGCAAACCTGCAAACACGTTTGACGCCACATTGGAGTAGCTGGCCATTTGGGAAAAATATTGAGAGGCTATGATAGGCGACTAGGAAGTGTCTCTAAGAATCAAGATAAAATGTGTAACATTTCTAGCATCAAAACTAAGAAGGTGTTTGCTGAAGTCTAGGGACAGGGCCAGCCTTAGCTTTTTGGTGGCCTTAAGCAAGATCTTACAAAGGACCCCCTTCAGATCATGATTTGCAAATACACTACTATTATCAGCTCCCAACACAACCTTATTTTACTACATAGAACAAAAAAAAAGTCTAACTATAAAACGTACTAAACAGCTTTGTAGAACACATAATAAATACAGTAAGTTACAAGCAAGAACAAAAAACACAAATTTTAAAAGGCTAACATAATTTAATAATGCAAGTAATGAATAGGAACATTAATAACAAGAACTAATGATAAATAGGATATCTGTTTCTTCAGAATTATAGCAAACCATAACTTACAAATTACAACATTAAACCTTTTGTAGAAAGGAAAAGTAGAAAAAAATATGTATTTAAGAAAAAAAAGTGCACTCAATAATAAGGAATGTGATATCAGTAAGGATAAGCAGATGAGAAATTTTACATAAAAACATTCTATAAACCAATTTGCCTAGAATGTTAGGAGGCAAAATCATAAAATTAAGTCTTCATACAATAGTAGATGACCCACTATATGACTGATGTTCATGATGGCAAGTTCACTGAGATGGTCTTATGCCATGGCTGACCCTCAGGTATGTTTTAATCAACTTGATCCCTGAAAAGTTCCTCTCTGTTCATGCCACTGTAACTTGGAGAATGACTGCAATCTGAAGGGCTACAGTTTGGGTTCACGTTACAATTTAATTAAATACAGGAGAAACCTCAAAGAAAACAATATATTTTTATGTTGATTATGTATAATCGCTGAACAGTCTTTTGTACTTTACATTTGCTTTCACGCCTTTGTTTGGCCAGGCAAATGATTTTTAGGCAGGCAACTTACACTGCATGTGTCCAATTGTGTGAAATGTGAATCCGTTAACCTCTATTAAAACACCTCAAATAGTCTATGTGTCTAATTTTAAAATGCTGCTGTTCAGCAGTTACATGGAACTGATAGACTCAAAACCAAATGAAATACAAACACATTATTACAGTGACTCCATTTGGTGTACCTCTGTTTTGATATCGCTTTTCAAACCTTTTTTTTCTGGGCTTCAGAAACATGTTACATTCTCGATTGTGATTGGTCATTTTTTAACAGACCTGGCCTCTATAAGGATAATTTACAGTAGCAACAGAAATAGCAGCTATATGGAATTTTTCACTCACATTTAAATGTACTAGTTAAAAATATGTTATGTTGCACATTGAGAGGGGCACCTGGTGCCTAGTTCTACTATGCCAAATGCAGCCCTGTGTAGAGGGTCCATATTCAGTGATCAAAGCAATTGTTTTGGTTTACCTTACTTAAGTTCTGTCAACAGTCCAGAAAGACACCATACTGTATACTGTAAGAAGATAGGAAGGACATGAAAGAAAGAAAAAAGAACAGACAAAACCACAAGAGAGATATCCAAAGCAAGAGATCCTTGTTCCAGATCACCCAGGAAGATCAGATTGAATTAAGTATTTTAACCTTGTTAAGAGTGCTTGCTATTCTGTAGTTTTTAGGGATCTCTGATTTTTTGTGTGGAGAATTCCTCAGTTAAAAATGGCCTCTCCTGTCTGGTTTGTTTAGTGACAGCCACGTTTACAGAAAGAGATTTAACCTTAGGTTATATTTACCTATTTACCTAGTATATTTAAGAGTCAAATACTTGGTAGCAGTCTGCGGTTTTTCTGTGTGATTAGAACAATAGGCCTTTGGGACACATTATTGTATTTTTGTACATGGTGTGTTGTAGGCTTATGTTGTGTAGTGTTTAGTGTGTGTCATTTTAATAATTATTTGTTCAACCAAGTGTGCCCAAATGTGTTCCCAAATGACTACTCACCAAATGACTTTTCACCAAAGGTGGGGGTTAAAATGATTTATTTTACTTATTGAGCAATGCACTCAGTCATTTCCTGTTGTTCAACTTTTTCATAACTCACCATTTGTTACAGTATATACTGTATATTAAAAACTATTTTATGTTTTTTATGATCCTATAAATGCACATAGATGAATAAAAATAGACATAAAGGGCCATAAAATGGAGCAGGAAGTGCATTTCACACTGCATGGCTGACATTCAGCGTATATCGTAACATTGACAACAATGGGTGCATAACAAGAGTCATAAATGTCACTGGTCTATATCAGCCTTTATTCTACATTGTCAAAAAAGCTAACAGTCACTTGATTCACAAGTCTTGAAGGCTATTTCCTTTGTCTCTCCATGGTTTGTTCGGAAATTCAGAAGCAAGTCGAGTTTAACCACAGTCATCGATTAGGACTGGGACATGCAAAAAGGAAAATTATAAAAATTTAAATCTAAGCACAGAAAAAGTTAAAATAGCCTGCAACAGTTTTCTTGACCAATTTGTGAGATGCACAAAAAGCAACCAAAGAAGCGTATTATGTTCCAAAGTTGTTGTTTTTTTTTGTTTATTGTGTTTTATTTTATATTTTATTTTATTCTCATAAATTTCTCCAAAGCATTGGCACATTGCATGGAATCTCACACTACAGCTGGAGAATGTAAATGTATTGAAATTAATCTCTTGGGTAACATTTCACCGTATTATTGTCTGTAAATTTATAATTGCAGATGCTGGTTGATTTTATTAAACACAGATGACTTTTGTTTTGCATTCATATCAAAGCTCCACAGATGAAAATGTAGTAATCATTAAATGCATTGTTTGTCAGTATGTGATTTCTGATCAAAGAAAGAAGCAGTTGCATTCCTTAAGTATCTAATTAAAATCAATTGGTAAAATAACAGAAGGTGTATATTGTTTAAGGTCATAAAATTATGCTGCCAAAAATACACAAGCACACGTCTTGTTGCTTTATTTTTTAAAAAACAAATATTTAATAATGTTTTTTTTCCAGAAAAAAATACTTTAATCATACAGTATATTGAATTCTGTGTGTTGCTGTAGTTAATTATCATAATTGTTTTAATTTGTTGTGTTAATGTATTTAAATGATCATCTTTTTTGCTATATGTAGGTGCAGCAAGTTAATTTTATTGGCATTATACTGTATATTAAAGGAATTGTATTGTATTGTATTATATTATTAGTCTACTGTAACTATAGTATCATAAGTTACATACATCATCTAAGTAATTGAATAAAAATAGTTTCCACTTGCATCGAATGGTTTGCATTTCACTGTTTTTTTCTCACAAAATATATTGGGTTGACTTCATTAGTGCTTTCATAATTTTATCAGATTGTAATCTTTGCTGTGTGCCCTCTCTTTTTCACACCCGAAGAAGGCTCCACAACCGAAACATTGTGTCTTCTTCTCTTTTCAGCATGGAATAAACCTATTACTTGTTCCTTTGCAGCCTAGGCATGCTGACGCAGCTACCCACCTTAAATACTATATACATACTGTACATCTGTGTCTTTAGTCAAAGGTGTCATGCTGATAAATGTGAATGAACTTTTCATGCCTCTTCACTTTGATTTTCCATTAAAAAAAGTGCAGCTGTCTCTCATACTCTTGTGTGTCCGCTAGAACTAATTAATATTCATGCCCAAAAGTCACTACAACTATATTCTCTTTAAACACACTTAAATCTGGAAAAGTATTTTTTCTAACATCTGTCGACTGCCATATTTTATTTTTTGGTGTAGTTAATTTTTATTATTATTTCCAATTAATTAAAAGTTGACTTATGGGAGAAACACTGATCTCAATAGTTTTTTTATATAAAATATGGTATTGTTTCTGTACAACAGGTTATTAATGCTGCCTTGGCCCTGGCATCAAAACCCAAAAGTCAGGCTGTGAAGCAAAATATGGAGGTGTATAGACAAGCCTGGGAGACCCATGTGCGGCTCTTAACTGAAGCAGTGGATGACGTCACCAGCATTGATGACTTCCTTGCAGTATCAGGTCAGAAAACACTCCCTCTCATTTTGTCAATCGATTAACCATTCTATTTGTATCATTGTAGCAAAGTAATTCTGAAATATACATTGCTTTTATGAAGTTTGTGGATGGGATTAAAATCAGTTGTCTGATTTCATCTTTGTTTCTTTAGTCTTATGGAAAGCCTTGACACTGTACTCAAGAATGAATTGCAGAAAAGTAACAATACCTAAGCAGAACACTACCTGTATGCACTTAATGCAGTCAGCTCTTTTTAGTACCTGATCCATCATTCTTTGAAGAATCTTCTTTAATGTGCAAAGAGCTTATGAAGCCAGGTTTAGTAATATGATGACTGTAAGTGGAAAATGTTAGTAATATTTTAAAATCTTTGTGCTGTCTAATTGTGAAGTTTTTACATGACAAATCTTACATTTATTTGGTTATACTTTAGAACTGGCATTCCTTATGTTGAAAGGTAAATTACAAGTCCTGTGTTCTTGCAGTTTGGAAAGAAGTGTTATTTTTAAATGTTAGAAGAGGATATATACAGTAATTGTAGAATTAGTAAAGATCTAAAAGAACACACTGGAATCTGCCCTTAAAAAATGAAAACAAAATTTGACACAGACATCTAGTTTAGGATTAATTTGCTTGGCAAAAGAAGAGTTTATAACTGTGGTTTTATTAGGTTCAAGGGGGTAATTTAGTTGTTATGTGCTGCTTAGACCTTAAAAATACAGCCCATAATCACAGTAATATCCACCACATTAGGAATTACTAGAATAATGGCCTACAGCATGGGTCTATTACTGCCAAAAACTGCTTGAATGTGTAAATGTTCAAAGGCTCTTGACTTTGCCTGCTTCCTAAAAATGTGCCCAAGGCTTGTAATTATTTTGCACCAGTGCTCATTCTGTCATTGCTTATTGTTTAGCAACAGTAACAAAATTACTATGTAAAGTACAATAATGAGAAAGCTGAAGAGATGGTGTGATAAAGAGAGCTGCAGTTAGATGTTAGAATACTTATTAATTCAGTTTTACTCCAGACCAATGTGAGCAGTCCCTACCCAGATCTTTATTTTTAAGTAAGTTCATTTGAATACATTGTAATTACTGTGCTGCTTTCCAGTTTCTCTTCAAGTGGAAGAGTATGGTGAGAAAAAATGGCACAGGTCATTATTAAGTGAGAAAAACATTGTTTTGTAGTTGAATTGTGAGTTTTAATTTTTCTAATTATGGCTTTAATGTTTCTACAGCATAAAATACACCCTTAATGATTTACTAAACTGATGATTTTAAAAAAGCTTTTTTTTTGCAGAGCTATTTTTTTACAAGTCTGTTTGCATTTTATTTCCCCACCATGATTTGATTACTGAATTTATTTACTGGATATAATCCTACATTTGGCACAATGCCCTCAGAATTTCATAGTCGTAGCCTTACAAGCTTTTAGTCTTAGTTTCAAAGGGCTAAGTGTACATTTAGTAATACATTAGAAACACCTTCACAGACTTATTGACATTAATAATGTTATGACATAATCATTATGTGACATTTATAATACCAGAGTCTAGGGCTGAATATTAAATTCCTTCCATGACTGTGACTTGGACCCATATCTCATTCCGTTCTTGTCAGGAATACCCATTTAAAATAAAACAAATACAAATTGCCTATCCCAACAACAATGGGAGCAAGGCAGAATACACCCTGGATGGGAAGCCAGTTCATTGCAATGTACACATAGACACAGACAAAAGCACACCAGAGACAGTTTTTCCAGAAGCCAATTAACCTACTAATACAGTACAGTATGTCATTGGACTGTGGGGAAAAAAACAGAGCCTCCAGAGCAAGCATATGTGAGCAAGGGGAAAACATAGTGTACAAATTCCACACAGAAAACACCCCAGGAATTCCACCGAGGGCTCCTGTGCTGCCAGCCTGCAACGCTAACCTCTGCAGCCACCCTGCTGCCCAGTAATGCATAACTCTTTAGAAAAAACTGTTCCCATGTTCTCTTCATTTAATCTGAGCTATACTAAAAATGTTTTTTTTTTTAAGTTTGTGCTGTTAATGCAGGAGGAATTCAAATGCAAACATTTCTTATAACACTGTTTGGTTAGTTTCCTAGTTTCACTCATTTCATTAATGACTAGTGTCACTAATGTTTGGAAATGTATATAAATTAATATTATTGAATAATTTATAAGATGGACTACTAATATGCATGTGGACCATCCTCAGTTGCATACCAGTGACATACTGTACATGTACAGTATTTCTGTTAAGTAATGGCATTCTCAGGACATACTTCCTTGTCTTTTGAAATCAGCTAATTATAGAACACAACAGTGTAATGCATTAGAAGACTTGATCTAGAATATTGGATATATTCTAATACAAACAAGTTCCTACTACTCTTGAATCAGTCCAAACAAAAGTGACCAGGTATGTTCACATGCTTAGTAATGACCAACACAGACAGGTTAAATGACAGGCTGAAATAACTTTTTGTTTTAAGTCTTGACCAGAGAGGTATATGAAGGGAGCTGAACTAAACAACCATGCTAACTCAAATCAAAGGAAGTGAAGAGAAATAAAAAAATAAATGAAATAAAATTATAATATTTGACAGGTTAATTTTTTTTTAATTATAAAGGCATAATGTCATTATCATTGCTCCCATATTTGTTATATCTTTATAATTCATAGTATTTGACAATGAAGTTATTTGACATTAAGCACAGAAATGAACTACAACAGAAACTAAAGTGATGTAATCAATTCCACAATGTTCAAACTTACAAGGTACAGCAAAACCACACAAGATGCACAATACATACATAGAGATAGTGCATTTAAAACCAAAAAGTAAATTTTTTACAAAATGAGTTGTGGGTGCGTGGAACTATATACTGTATGCCATGTATAATAATGCTATTGAAATGATGCTCTGGCTTCTTTCAAGAATTGGCTGATGAGATTCTTACAAGTTAAAACTGTAAATCCCAGATGAAACAAATGATATTCTTATGATATTATGTTCACATCAATATTAAACTTATAAACATGCATTCATTATTTTGCAAATGCAATTGGTGGAAATATACCAGTAGTGTGTTTCAGTAGCTCAATACTGAATGGTATTTAGGATTGAGATTTCAACTTGAGATTTCAGTCTGAAATGCTGAATATTTATCGTCTGTACGAGTTAGCAAGAAAAATATTTTTGAAGTTGCTCCTTCAAACAAAGGTCTTAGTTTTTATTTCACTTGAGTTCCTGATAACTTGACTAAAACAATAATTTGTTACAGTATATTTAAACGATTTAACCATTTTATAAAGCCCTAAGCATCTATTGAAAGTTATGTATAAAACCCCACCACATTATTTCATTTGTGATCAAACCTCTGTTTCAGATGAGCATAAGTATTGGGACAAACAAATAACAGGCATTTCTAATTGCTCATATGTTCCATTTTGCTTTAATTGTGAAAACATAAAAGATCTGTGAATGTATAGCCTTAGTTCTATTCTTTGGGGTTTACGTTTTGTGTCTGCATTTTGAGTTAAAAGGCATAAACCAAGATGAAGTCTAGAGAGTTGTATGTAATGGAAAAAGCAAGTAATTGTGAAGATGAGACCAAAGAAAATTAAAGCCATTTAGAGAGATTGGGCATGGTAAAATCATCAATATAGAATGTCTTGAAAAAGAAATATGCTACTGGAGTAGTAAATAATTGGCAAAGACCAGATCATCTAAGAAATATTACAGCACTTTACAACAGAAAAAAAAATGAGAAAAAGAAAAGAAAAAACCTAAAATAACAACCAGCAAGATTGTAGACCATCTCTAGAGTGCAGGAGTGAAAGTACATTATTTCAATTCACTATGTGCGGAAGACTTCCACAGGAGAATTACAAGGGCTTTCACTGCAAGATGAAAACCTCTCATCAGTGTTTAAAACAAAAAGGACATTTTAGCATTTGCAACTAAGTACAAGGAAGTGAGGGATGAGCAAGACAACACTCACAAATTTTTACCATAATACCATTGAGAGTGTCCTGATCGGTGGTATTGTGGTGTGGTATGGTGGAGCCACAGTACAGGACAGAAAAGCCATACAGAGGGTTGTGAGGTCCGCACAGAAAATCACTGGGACTGAGCTACCCTCCATCGACCTGATATATCTCGATTGCTGCCACAACCGGGATCAAGCTATACTTCAGGACCCAATTCACCCTGGTCGTGATCTGTTTTCACCCCTGGGTTCTGGTAGGAGGCATCACAGTATCAGAACACTGACCAATAGATTCAAAAACAGTTTCTTCCTCCAAGCAGTCCGTATCATAAACAGCTCATTAACTTTCGGCTTGCAAAACTCCCTAGATATGTACTGAATACCGGTATTTATCCTAAGCAGAGAAGCACAACTTTTTTAGAAATGTGTATGCTATGGAAGCAATCTGAGTAACATGCATTGCTCAAGGTTACTAGTATTGTTCAACCCAGGATCTGAACCCACACATTTCCAGGGACAAAATACAAGCCCTAAATAGTGCAGTACTATATTATAATAATTCAAATTGCCAGTTTTCCTCAAGACTGCAATATAACAATAAGGGATTTTGCCCTTATATCTTACTCTGTAAAATATATCTCCATTTTTTGTAGCTAATTCAAGCATGAAATTGTTAATTGGATTGACTGACGGAAACTTCACAACTTTTACATGCCCTGAATAGCTTACAGTTTTGAAACCTACAAAAAAGTGGTTTTTTGGTTCTAGTTCTGGAAGTCTCCAACTGAGATCATAATCACAAACTAATTTATTTCAATTTTCTGTGTGAGGCCTTTTTAAAATTTTCTTTCAGTTCTTAAAACTCTTAATGAGATTTGTAACAAGAATGAGCTCTGTTCTAATTAGTGAGTTTCTGGACTGCTCTCATTCGGTGTACTAGCTAAAATACATACTAATTGGAATGAAACAGAAGGAAAAACTATTTGGGAAAATA